TCAGCCGTCACACAGCCTTTTAACGATTTCATGTCGTATATGCACACACGCCGACGACACGTAATACGTTCGACGGCAAATACAGCGATTGTTTACTCGCGCTTTGAAAAAGTAAGAAAAATTGAAGCGGATCCCGGTATCAGCGTCGCTGAATTACTCCGACCGTTTACTATATACGCGTGCGTGACCGATTCAATGGGTAATCCACATACACCCATATGTGTACACCTCATTGTGATGTTACGCGCGCGGCAATACCTGCGGACGACGTACCTTGTGTACCCTTATTACGATGCTCTTCTTCTTTCTTTTTTTCCAACTCGAGACAAATACCGCACGACGTTGTCTGTCTCTCGCTGTGTGCTGCGTGTAAAACGAAATTTCTCTTACGGCGACAAATATAAAGTGTATAGCGTCCGAAAAATCAATGTACGCAAGTCGTCCGCGAGCTCTCGCATTGACGACAACACGTGCGCGCACGTACATGTATTGTTATTATTATTATTATTATAGAAACGCACACCACCACCCAGGTTGTTGCTGTTTACATGGAACTCGCGGCGCGCAGCTGCTGCCGCCGATCGCCCGAGCAGCTGATAATTAAAAGAGACCTTTAACGTATAACAAGTATAATAATAATGACGAGCAGCAGCAGCGCCGATTGCGTACGTGTGGGATGAAAATGCATCGGAATAATTACAATATCATAAGGATACAAAAGTTAATGAAAAATTATTGGCGCGTAATATGTGCACACATACACACACACAAACGGTGTGTCCGTGACATACTTTATTTATAATATATAATGTGTGTCGACGTTGCTGCTGCCACGCTCGCGAGCCAAGATCTTTTCTCGTTTTTAACTCGTATAATAAAGCTATATGTCGTCGTCGTCGTCGTCGTCGTTGACGCGCGCAGCACATGCAACGCTCAGCACGTATATACGTAGCGCCGTAATAGTCATTCAACATTTAATGAAACGAGAAAATGTGTGTGTACGTGAGCGCAGCGGAGAAACCGCACGCGGCTGCTAGCGAGCTCGATCTTTTCGAGAATATCACCTGTGTGCGGAAAGCCATCGCGAGGTTTATACCAATAAACTGCCGATCTTGCTTTTAACATTGACAGTTTTACTAAGCTGCTCTCGCGAAAGAGAGAGAGAGAGAAAAGGAGCAGGTTTGATGCAAAATATGCAGCCGATATGTTGTGTTTTGCAACAAAAGTACGCGAGATCGGTATGTGGCAAGTTCGACTGATACGCCGCGTCGAACTGGTCGCAGTGAGATTCGTGTACTTGCATCGCTAGAAACACAGGGTATAGAATATCGATTCTATAATATTAACGAATTAATTCTAATCTTTTGAACTTGACCTTTAAAGGGTTCAACCTCGACGACGACGAAGGATCTCGCGATCCCCAATTTATCATTTGTAATTATGGGTCAAAGAATGTAACACGATACCAAATCGAATCAATGCCTAAAAAACTTACACGTACATTCGAGAAACAAAATTCATCAGCCTTTTGCGCAGATATACCTGATCCCCCCCGTTCGTTTGGCTCGTCTATAAAGCCCGGGAAGTTCCTTCTCCCGATATATAATGCGCAACAACAAACTGGGGCAATCGTACTAGTATATATGTGTGTTTCTCGAAGTAACGTGAAATTAGCAAGTTTTTACGAGTGTATATCAGGATGTATATTTTTCGTTTGCAATCGCGACTCGGGCATCTTTCACACCGGGCCGAACCCGTTCGTTATATATACGTATAGTACGCCTCGACGAGGCGTATTCCGCCTATGTATACATTATCCGCGTGCGCGATCTTTACGAGTCGACTCTGCAGTCGTCGTCATCATCAGCATCGTTGCGCGAAGAGTCAGTCGTCGTCGTCGTCCTACGGATGCGTCTCGTTTTCAGCGCTCGCTACGTCCTCGATGATAAAATCGGCGCGTTGTTTAGCTGCGGGGCTCTCGCGCAGCAGCTCAGCTCAGCGCATCCATCCACCTCCGCGATCGTTCAACCTATTATGCAAATGGCGAAACACAACTTGCGAAACGAGAAGAAGAAGAACCCCGAGAGAGAGAGAGAGAAAAAAAACAATGGCAACGCAGAGCCGTATAGTAGTTGCAAATAATTGTACGGTAATTATTTATTTGCCAGAGCTACGATGTTACGAGAGTGAGAGAGGGAGCTACCTGCCATGGGTTCGGTCTTTCTTTCTCGAGGACGTGCGAAGAGGAAGAGAGACCGGCTTGTGTATCTAATATATATACGTGCACATTGTGGTCTGAGCAGCAGCAGTAGCAATGGACTCTCGTATTACCCGATCGTCTTGCACGGTGCTCGTCGCTCGCAGCGGGCGACCGGATATACCCTTGGTACATACGAGGACGAAAAGAAGAAAAAAAGAAATAATAAATAAATAAGTAGGAAAAATTCGATGCGCGACACTCGTTTTTCTCGTTCTCGTGCTTTATATACATAATAAATGTCGTAGTACACGCGCGTATTATTACTCATCCGTGTGCCATTCGATCTAATTCGTTGAAATTCTTAGTTTCGATCAATTATCGCGTGTATACGGCCGGTGGGCTATATGCCCGCGGAGCCACGAGTGTATACGAGCGTCTAACTGTCGAGGATTTGATTCATGCGCACAGGATATTGCCTGCTCGGCCGATGCGATTTTCGAATCAAAGCTCGTGTTCGGGCGTTAAAAGCTCTCGTATATGCGAGTGCTGATAGACGTATACACACACACACACACACCACTCGTCAAATATCCTTATTGAACGGTGCGCTACGCGTTTTTATCTTATCCGCGAGTTTGCGTGTTTATCTTCTTCGCACTCGTGTTTGTTTTCGCCTCGACACCGCACTAGAGCGGATATATAATAACATAAGTCGCAAGAAGAAGAAATTTACGAGGACGCGCCTTTCTACAAATTGACAACGATCTCTTCCGTATGCTCGAGTACTCGAGTTACTTTTTTCTTGGGTCGCGACTAAATAATAACGTCTACATGCTACGAGCAGGCAGGTATAGATAATGGAACATTGGGCAATGCGTATTGGACTTTCGATAGACGATCCTCGCGAGGCAATTCGAAAAAGCGAAAGTATGTCAATAATACAGGAACGCGCGGGAAACAACGGATATTTAGGAGGTCTCTAGCGTCAAGAACGGCTTCCTCTCCAATGTATACCTATAAGGTACACACACAACACAAGACAAGACACACACACACACACATGTGTAGCCAAGTGCGCGAGATGACGCGCTACAATGTTAAATGTATACACACGACTTTGACCGCGACACACAGACGGGATAAATAATATAAGCTCGCTCGCGAGCATTGGGACACTTCGGCAGCTGCTGCGCGAGGTGGGGAAAATTAGCCGAGGAATTTCGAAAGCACACATAATAATAACAACGATTCTTGAATCTCGACGCGACGTCACATACGCACGCAGCACTCGCGTATTTATTTATATATAAAAATCTTGGACGCGACGAGTGACGATATATATGCGATAAGACCGATTATAACGTGTATATATATACGGTTATAAGAGGCGTTCGCGAGAGATGCACAATGCATTATACCTGTATAGTGTATAATCGTTGCGTCACTATTATAAAAGGTATATATCCTCCCGTGCCTATATGGAGTGCAGGCGTATACGTACATGGTAGCCGCTACCTTTTATAACAAAAGATAAATTGAGAAGCAAGAGAGATACAGCACGAAGCGCACACCTTCGCACATATATATATATATACATCGTATATATACGCGAGAGCCTGTCTCCTCCTTAATACCGTGTATATAGACCTCGTTACTCACGCACCTTCGCGCGTGTATACATATACACGGTCGTCCTTCGATGCGCGCAGTATCTCGTGTGCCTATATATATATACACGAGTGCACAGCCCGCAAGATGTGTGTACTCACTCTCTTTCTCTATATACTCCCGCAGCAGGAGCAGCAGCAGTACACGCCTCGAGTGCAGCCAGCGTGTATATATATAGTAGTATACAAAAGATTTCTCCGATACACTGATTCGATAACGGTTTTCGCTGCGCGCGCGCGTATACTCGCACACGTATACACGTATGCATTGTAATGCACTAGTAGTACCATATACGAAGGCGCGCTCGCGAGAAAGCTGAATCGTCGTCTTTGCCACACACACGCGCTGATGCATTTTTGGCGCGCGATATATAATGCGCGTTGTGCTGCTCACACACACAATAGTCAGTCATCGCGCGTATCGCTAATCTCGCTTTCCAAAGTTTCGAATTACGAGTGCCGAAGACGAGGGCAGGAGAGGCGCGCGAGCAAAAGCGGCTGAAGACGATGCGTTAAATATATTTGATATATATAATGTACTTTTTATTTGAATACACTAATGTAGTCGAGCGAGAGAGTGCGACAGGTGAGCGCGTAAAACAATCGTCGATGAGAAATCGAACGTCGATATCGACCCGTGCGCACGCGTGTTTTTACATTACGATCAAAGCGCAAAGGTTGATTACGCGCGAGAAGAAGATTTTTCGAAACCGGTAGCAGGTATAATACGCACTCATTGCTGTACGAGGAATGCATCCGCGCGCGACTGCTCGGTTCGTCGAAAGTTTCGGCTCTTTTTCGACTTTTTACTTCTTCTTTTTTCCTCGTAAAGCAATGAGACGGGCGGAAAAGCTTACCTACACGTATATACACACTTGAATATATATATTGGGCAACGACGAGCGCCACTTGTTACGAATATAATAATATTGTGTTGCTCCGGCGCGCGTACGTATCATACGTATACGAATAATATCTGTACGCATATGCTGTCGCAAGCATCGGGGAAGTGGCAAGCGGCTCTCTTATTTAGTCGGTACTCTATCACACACATACACACACACATACAACATATGTATATAATAATATAATGGTTGCCGCTGCTGCGAATGCATAATGTAACGATCACTTACGTTTTCCGGTTGCGACGACGAGCGCCTCTGCCGCGGCACACAGAAGAGCGGCAAGCCGTTTTCCCGCTTCCTCTCCAATATAGCGGTTTCCTGTAGCTGCTGCTGCAGAGCCTCGGCCTCTGCTGCTGCTGCTGCTGCTGCTGTTGATGTTGCTGCACTCGACACCCAAATGCCCTTCCAGAGAGCATACGCGCGCCCGCACACTCGCGCACTGTATATCGATACTTTTTAGCAGCGGATAATTCGTTTCTTTTTTTTTGTTACACCTCTACGACGATGACGCACATCGAAGCGCGCGGCGTCTTATGCTCGTTGAAATCACCGCGTTGCTGCTGCTGCGACACTGATAACAATAACAATCACAACTGCATCGATGACACTGATTCAATTCGGCACCACAATAAAAAAAAACAACAACAACACCAACTCAGTCAACACTGTAAAAACACCGATATCATAATATTATCGTTAATAACAACGATGCGCAACGTGCGTGTCGCGTCATGCAGGACGACGACTCCGCAGTCAACTCTACACGCACACTTTGTTTATATCGGAGCAACTGGTGGTGCGCGTCGTCCTTCGCGGCTGCGGGCCTATACACGATACGATACACACAATGCTCCGAAAGAGCGACGACGACGAGAGAGCGAGAGAAAGAGTACACAGCCTCCTCAGCTCTCCGCACTTGCCACCGATATATACACAGAACAAACACACACACTAACAACACACATATATATATAATGGACACACACTGTATCTCTCTCTCACGCTGCACTATAAAGAGCAAAAGCGTGTGCGGCTATATTAAAGCCAAGAGTAAGAGAGAAAAAGAGACTTGCACAATAGCGTTGTATGTATACAGCGTCACACGCGCGAACTCAACGGCTCTCCGGACCGATACAGTATAACTCGAAGGGATCGTCGTCTCGATTGAGGTTATACTCTCTCGCTCGATGGCCGAAGGATCATTCGTATACGTGCCGAGTCGTGTGTATACACTCGCGGACACTGCGGGGACAGGCGTCGTCTCTCCTTGTGTCACTCTCGGCTAAAATAACGAGGTAAAAAACACTCCCATACGAATACGTATATACGAAGGCGTGACACACACACACACCGATATCAAGGGAAAAAAGACGCTTCGACGACGTTCGTTGAAGAGGCCAAGACCTCTGCAGCGTATAAGCGCGTTTACGAATTGCACTGTTGTGTGTGTGTACTACCAAGCGCGCACACGACTTTTTGAATACGAGCACGCGCGAGCCGAGAGGAGTACAGTGGCGAAAAAGGAGTCTACGTTTGTGTATAGCTATATATACCTATATATCTCTATGTCTCCGCTGCTGTGCGTCGTCACACATATACACATACACTCACACTGCAGACGCGGCGCGCGATTTTGCGTCGCGGAGCGACCGATTGATACTGGTCGCGCTTCGCAACGATACTGACTCTGCTCCGCGATGCTGAATTCCGCGCGCTCGGCGCTCGGTTCCCCGGACTTCGGTAACTTATAACTGGCCGAGCAGCGGCGGCGGCGGCGGCGTCGGTGGTGGCGTTGTTGTTTGCGCTCCTCGAGGCCTTATACATACGTTATTATTATTGCTATATACCTATATAGTGCAAGCGCGAAATCGGATGCCAAAACACGATGGCGAGTCTCTATACTATACTATACACAACTCGAGTCTCTCTCTCTTGAGAGAGGAGCGAATGAATGGCGCTGGAATGGAAATACGCTGATGGTGGTGGTAGCTGCAACCCTCCCTACTTTATTTCGCGATCGTCCCGCGTCTCTCTCGTTGCACTGCATATATGTATATAGTGTGCAGGAGAGAGTCCATATTATTCTCTCGTACTCGACGCTGATTTCCCCCTAAATGGCCTCGCTGTGCATGTATGTGCAGCGTCTCTCTCTCTCTCTCTCTCTTTATCTGCGCTGCACTGCACTGGGACTACGCAGTTTTATTCTTCGAGAACTGCATCCTATACATGTATATACGAGGCATTTACTATATATATACAATGCGTATACTGTATAGTACCTCGTGCAGCTCGAAATACACACATACGATCCGGGGCCTTTTGTTGCGATGCTCCGAAAAATCACTCCTCATTCCTTGTTAATTTTTCAACGCATTGACGTAGCGAAGCGTAGTAAAGCCTTATTAATGTGAACTATTTTAGATTTTTACCTGCATACGGAACGTTGGATGTTTAAGCTCTATTGCAAACCTTCGTGTACGGATGGCTGCAGTCGTTTCGGCGACCGTGTATAAGAACGGAAAATCGCGCGGCTGTCTTATTTCAGGCGTTTGTGCTCGCCATCGTCGGTATGGTTTTGTATTCATCTAGAGACTTTGAATTTTTAAAATTTTTAAACGATCATCGACGTTACTTACATTTGATTCACTGACATTGACATTTATGACTCGAGCTCATTTTAATTTTCAATGCATGTATTTTATTGAGAAAATTACTCTAATTTTTTGTTATGAGTATGGAAATGTTTAATAGAGTGATTTTCATCTGAACTCAAAAAGATACCTTTTATCTAGTACAGTACAATATACTGCAGTCTACGACACAAGCATTTTTCAAATCACATTGAGTGATTGTTTATCGATACTGAAAGTTCTGGCAGTGATTTTCGGGCAATTCAAATAGAATTATTTTGTACAGTTCAATAAAAATTTGAAAAAATGAATCGAAAATATTGAGTTAGCTGCACGTAGATGAGAACTGAAACATCTTGAGATACAAGTAATTAAAAACATGAAAGTACGAAAGAAGAAAAGTGCAGCAAAATATCGCATATTCCGTTGGTTACAAGAGGTTTACCAGAAACATCCTTTTTTCGCATTTACGATTCAAAATAACGATAGATCAAAGGAATCAATCGTGTACAAATTGCAATGTGATCTCGGTGGAAATGCACTCTCTGATGAGTTAGCAGATTTCATGACGCAGAAAAAGTTGAAATGAAAAAATGTCCAAGTCAATAAGTGTATTCAATTTTTTTCATCTATTTCATTGCTTGGAAAACTTAAGAAATGTAATGTCACCATATACAAATACGAAATAATAATTCGTTTTTTTAAGTTGTTATTATATGAACCAAAAATTACAATCGCATATAAAGCGACGATTGTCTATAATATCACAGTTGAGCTTCAAGATATGTTTTTTTTTATTATTCGCACAATTTCGTCCTGTCTTTCTTTATCTTGTTTTTATTGTATACAAATTATTCACAAATGTTGGATCACTGGTAATTCCTAATTGGACTCTAAAAAACGATAATAATCAAAACGTAAGGATAGAATGAAACATTTCAATAAAAAAAAACAAATGTAATACGTACGCAGAATCTTAACGAGCTTTTCCATCTGTTCGGGCAGTATAAACCTAGTATTTTTAACTATCTCTGAGAAGGGATCCGCGATATCTGGCACAGCATATTCGGGCTTCGTGAATCTAAATCAAAGTCGAAAAGTGTAGGAAGTTACGCAAAACTCTTTTCGCGTTATCGAGGTACGAACCTAACAATGTGATGATTATAATCCTCGGTTTCTAAATCCTTGATGTGTACAACATGTTCATAAATCTTGTTGATGTTAATGTCTGATCGCTTTCTTCGTGTCGATCCATGTGACTCGGCATCCTTGGGATATTCTCGTGGTGGCCCACTCGTAAACTCCCTCAGCGGACACGTTCTGAAAGACGCTCGACGTTCACCAAGAGTAAACCTGCGAATTATAGAGTTGGTTTCGTTAATCAAGCTTCAATCGTTTTTCACGCGGTAAAAAATATCGCTCTAAGCTTACATTGGCTCCGGTGCGACCTGCGAGCTGCATCTGCAGATTTGTCATCTCCTCCATGAAATCTTCATCGTGCTTAACGTACATCAGAATAACGTCTTTTTCGTGTGTTAATTGCGGGCGTATCGACTTCATCTCAGGAACGTCGATTTCAGCTGGAGATGCTGGAGCTTTGTCATCAGTATGACAACTCTTTTTGCTATATCGCATAGCAGCGACCAAGATGCCAATAATAGTGGACAATGCGATGATGGCTAGGATAATATTTTGTTGTGAGTATCGCAGTGAGCCGTGTCGCCGCTAGGTGGCACCGAGTGAAAGTGCGGTTCACGCGAATGAGTTTGTCAAGTCTGGGCGTTAAATAGACCCAAGAAAAGCTTGTATTTTCGGAAGCCTCGAGAGAGGCGAAAGAGAGGTGAATAAAAAACTGAGTTCTTTGAAAAGGGACCTTTCACCTCCCTCCCATTCTCCATCCTCTCCCAGCCGTGACCCCAGCGATCACCTACAGCAATTTTTAATTTTTCTATTTTCCACGTATAAATATGTGGTTTTTAAAATCCACGTTTTATTATAGGTAGTAAACGATACACCATAGCATCCTGTTATGGGATCGTTTACGCGGATTGAGGTCTGCCTTTCCTCCATCGAGCACAATTTAATTTTTTTTGACATTTCATGGTCTCGTTTCCACGTGAGTAAATCACATTCACTATCCTATATAGCTGTCTTAAAAAGAATTCTAATGTCATAATGACATTCTTCTTCTGACAGCGGAAACCTAATTTCAATTTCATCTAAAACAAAAACATGTCTTTTAATTTGGTAAATGAACAAAATTTGAAAGCTCATAAAAACGATTAACTCACTTTTTAAATAGTTTTGAAAAAAAACTATTTGCTCGGGTCGAGGATTTAACGCAGGTCGGCATGCGGCAATTGACTTGTGACATCTTTGGTCCTGCAAACAGACATATGCAAATTATTATGATTATCGAAAGTTAAAACTCACTTCATACGTACCTCAATGATTTTAACTTGCAACACTGCTTCCACTGGTCCTATCTCGCTGTATGCCCAGCATTGTACAGGTTCAACCCTGCAAAGAAATAATTTCGAAACGAATCAAATATAAAATTGGATTAATTTATAAGTTGCGACACGGTGGCTTTTCGAGGCCCTGCCACCACCGCACGATAAATGCGTGGACTCGAACTGGGCCGTTTACGCGAAAAATAAAGGGGAAAGGAAAGGCAACACTAGGTTAAATAAATAAAAGTTCCTTTTGATTTTCTTTTTTTTTTAAATAATAGAGTCAAATATTTATTATAAAGAAATGGCGCAACTCAACTGGCTTTTTATATTACTCGCATACACACTCTCACACACACCTTACAAATAATGTTACCGTACCAAACAAATCTAACGACGACAATCCGGCTTTGGCGTAGTAGCTCTCGGCTGGGCTTTGGTCTGGCTTGGGTCGAAACGGTGCTTAGCACTAGTTGATGTTGCGGATGTCGGTCTTAGACCAGAGTCTCGGCTCGTGTACCCGGCTTTCCAACACGCAACACTACTTCACACGACTGAACTCAACACTCTCTCTTAAACTCACTACACACTCTCGCCTCGCTCACTCAATGCTCACACGATACTCGCAGGTACTCTCGTTATTCACTCTTCCTCACTCCTCTCTCACTCGCACGTGCCTAAACTCACTCGGCAGGAAAATAACTCGCGAAAATACTCGTACTCTCTCGTTCGTGGTCAACACGTGAATGCCGCGCTGGGCCTCCTACTCACGCGCATCACGTGTCCGGCGCGGCGCGCTCTGGCGGCTTCTCTTACAATTTTATCCGACGCGACATATGAATTCGAGTTCTTTCGGTCTGGCTCTTGGCGGCGGCTCGTCCTTTCTGGCGATTGACCTGCAAAATTAATGTCCTCGTTATTCATTGCATTACTTATGTTTACATTGCCTGTCAATCCTTATCATACTTCTCTGTCAGTAGCTGCTCGGCACAATCACAGTGTCACAAAGTATACTTGAACTGCAACCTAGTGTTACTTACTCTTTGTCAGTTTCATGAGCCGTCGATTGAACGTTGCAGCTAACCATAGGAGTGACAACTTCAGTCTTTTTGTAAGTTGTTTCTAGAAATGCCTTTTTTCGAAATTCGTAATAACTATCGGCTATGAAAACAAATGAATAACACCCTGTGTACACGTAATTGAACCAGACTTTAGCCATTTCTCTCTGTAACGAAATAGTTTTCATATTCAATTAATGCATTCAAAATATTCATTCAATAATTCAGATAATAATCCAGCAAAGTTTAGCTACCACACAAGAAGAGTTAGCACTCAAATTTGGACGCTGCTTGTTTTCAGGACAAATATACTTTGAACTTATGCAGTATGCGGACGAGAATCTCTCATGTTGAAAGTATAATTCATGCAATCTTCCTCGTCATTTATTCCAGGAGCAATGTACAGTTGTACTTCAAGCTCACAGTTTTCTCTAGGAGTAAGAAATTCCACCACGACGATACCTGAATGAAGGCATGGCTTTAAAATTTGGTAAACGAACAAAATCTGAAAGTCCACGAAAGCGATTGACTCACTAGAGTGATTACTCCTATCGTGGTCCTCGATGATGCTGAATGTGACCTCACTGGCTGCTGGTAGATGATGCCTGGAGCAAGGCTTCACTTCTGTGGTGTGGTTGGCACAGTTGTAATCATAGCGATACTGCAACACAGAAAATACGTCAATCCCAATGATTAATGAAGTTCAGGAAAATATCTATTGATTTACACTTGAGACGACGCCTAGTGTGCGCAACCGTAGTAAAGAAGTCCACGCGCAAAGACCCGCGCTTATTCATCTCCGAGGAAAAAATCTACCGATCTATGCATTTGGATCTTTTTTCTGACTCTTGGTAAACGTTCACGAACGAGCTAAACATACGACACTTTAGGTCAAAAATATTTCTGCGTATAAGAGAGAGAGAGAGATTATACGGTAATCGTTTTCTTTATAGCGCGAGAACGTTAAAAATTAAAAAAAATCTTCGATTGTAAGTGTTAGTTGTAATTATTCGGTGTAGTATCTACGTATGATTTATATTTTGATTGTAAAACGACGACACTCGCGAATTTCAAATCAGAATTAGCTTTTAAAAGCTGCATGCAAATTTTAAGGAATGATGAAAAAATTTAAAAAGCTTTATGACTTACATCACACGATAACAGGCTGGGTACGCCGTGATAAAGGTACAAGAGCGGCAAAGAAGATATTTTTCAACGACATTTTGATTTCAATTCTTCTCAACAGCGTGGAAAAAATCAATGATTTTGTTCGCTCGTCACGTGTAGATGCTGAACGTTGAGCAAGACTCCTCGCCGTCAAATCAAAGTACTATTTTGTGAACAATTTTCGAACGCGTAATGTTATTGTTGACAACGTGCACACACACAAAGTTGAACAATCATACACGCACGATTATATATACGCTACTCAATGCTCGCGTATTCTTACTCGTCGTTACGAGTCGGCAGTCGTACATCTACGAGTTGTTTTTGTGAATTAGATCTCTCTCGTAATTTCGGTCGCGTGATTCACTTTCTATATAATAATGTCACATAATATGTCGTAGTGTCTAAACGTCACTACAACGCCGCGACGCGTAAACACCCGCGCGACTATATCGCATCGACTGCGCGCCGTCAAGTGAAAAGGTGAACAGATATTTCAAATAATAAGAGATTGGATCTGCGTGCGAGTGTGTGAAAAAATATGGATACCTCACCATATTGGCACTGTGTTTTGTCGTCGGTGAGGCGCAAATGCAAAGCCGAACGGCAACTGAGAGTCGAGCAGCTGAGAAGCAGGAATTTGGCCAACAAGGACAGATTGCCACCGATCATGGACATGGATTCTAGATGGTTATTTTCATATTGCGGTGCGATTCAACGAGCCACACCTCCGAAAATCGGACCCCGTAGTAAATACGACAATCATTGCTACGACGACGATTTTGCGGACGAGTGGTCTTGGATGCCGCCGCTACACATCGCTCTGTTCCGCCGAGATAAAAGCGTCGTCGAGTCGCTGCTGAGGCAAGGCGCCGATCCTAATTTGCGCGACAAGTACGGACAGACGCCTCTGCACGTCCTCTCCTGGTGCTTGGACGACGACGACGAATTCGCCAAGAAATTTTTCGAAATCGTCGACGGAACCGTCGACGTCGAAACGGGTCGTCGTCAGTGGGTGTGGGTCGACGTCGCGGAAAACAACGGCGGCACGGCGCTGCACTGCGCCGCGTTCTGCGGACACTGGAAGATGGCCGAGCTGCTGCTGAGCCGAGGCGCCGACCCGAACGTGGCCAACGACGCGGGATTCACCCCTCTGAATTGGATCTGCCGGCATCACGATTACGCGGCGGCGAAGCGATTCTTCGAGATCGCCGACGAGACGCGTCAGGGACCAGTCAGGGTCGACGTGGCCGACAATTGGGGCTGGACGCCGCTGCACTACGCGATGCTGCGCGAGGACCTGGACAAGGCCGAGCTGCTGCTGAGCCGAGGCGCCGACGCGAATTCGCTCAACAGGCTGCGCGAGACGCCTCTGCACGTGCTCTGCAAGTACTCGAGCGCGGACGAGGCGCGAGTCGTCGAGAGATTCTTCGAGATCGTCGACGCGACGGGGGGACAGGAGGTACGGTTGGACGTCGTGGACAGCTGGTGTACTTTCACGCCACTGGACTGGGCTCTGTTTTGCGGACACGATAAAGTGGCCAAAGTACTGCTGAGCAGAGGCGCCAGCGCGAATTTGGCCGCCGAGTTCGGATTGCCTCCTACGGTCGCAGTGGCTAAAACGAACGAATCGAGCTGCTCGGCGTCGAAGAGAGCAGTCAGCGCTCGCGACTCGGAGGGAAAATATTTTCATATTTATTTATTAATGTTTTTATCGATTGTGTGTGCTATTTGGTGTTGTTTTCCAAATATTTTGTAATACATTTTTTATCTATAAGTACAAGATCATTAAAAGTAAAGTATCTCTATGTAATTTAAAGTATTAATCAAATCATGAATATTCAATAGAATTAAACTATCAGGCAATTTAAAAGTTCAAAGTGGCCCATGTTTGGTGATCGACTTTTGTTGTATATATTCATCGCAATTGCAATTTTTTTACTCTTGCATTCATTCAAATATAGTGTGTTCAACCTAGAATAATATAAACAGGAAAAAAAGCTACCTCAAGTGCTAAAATGAAAACTAATATTAGTTGTCAATACTATCTGTAATGTAAATTTAGAACAGTATTATAAATTAAGATGAATGTACAATAAATTACTTTTTTTACAAAACAAACAAAATCTTCTTTTTCATTTTTTATTCAGAATGTAAATAATTTGACTCGAATAATACTATTCGAATTGCACAAAAATCACAAGTTAAAATTCATTTTTCTCAATCAACTTCAATGAGAAGTTGAATATTTCGCAATAACTATGAAGATTGAAAAATACGTTTCAACAGTACCTGTGCCATTTCGATCCAGTGCATACAAGTTACCGCAATACAAAATTATTCAATTAATAATCTCATTATTATTAAGATATTTTGATTTATGAGTAATCTCACTCGTTTAAACGCAGAAATTTCGAGTAAATACTTTCCTATATTTCCGTGAAGATGATTTAATATAACTTGCTTGAGAAGTCTTAACGACACGATTTGAGTTAGGAAAAGCTTCAGATTATTCAGAACTTATCGCAAGTGGCGAAAAAATTAACGATCGTCGATCGCAAAAGCATACTAAATTTCACATGCCAATCGAATAGCAACGCCACCGTCGGTGCAATGCACAACTAATAGAGGCGCACATGTTGTCACTTGTCTTATGTTTTGTTTCGGAGCCCGGAGGTCAAGTTTCTATCCTACAGACTTTTCGCTATATCCAGCAGAAACCAGATTTTTCATTTTATTTATTTAAATTATGTACGATCACTGCCTCAAAGTTTAACGTGAAATACCACTAATTATTTATTAATTCAAGCTAGGTTATAGTCGTCCATTAGTGCAAGTTTATTTTCTACTTATCTTTCTTGACTATAAGAACATGAGCGATATTGACATTGGTTTCGCCCAAGAGAGCGAATCTTGGCAATTGGAGAGTAGGTTCTTTCCCTCTAAAGTGGGTGGCAAGCCATCATGGCTGGACCTAAAAAACATACCAGATTCCAAAAAACTTGCATGCGATCACTGTCAACAGCCTACTATTTTCTTGTGTCAAATATATGCACCAATTGAAGAAGATGAGAAAGCTTATCACAGAACTATTTATGTATTCATTTGCAAAAATCCAATCTGTTGCAAAGATAATTCAAATGGTAACTTGAAGGTTCTACGATCGCAGTTGGAGCAAGAGAATGAGTTTTATCCTCCAGAAGACCCTGTGGTGGAGAGCGATTGGCAACCAGATTTGTGTTAGTGAAAATCTCTTCTTTCTGAAAGATTATAATTTATTAATGACTTAAAGTTAACTCCACAACAGGTTTTCGACATGAATTTCTAATGATTAATTTGTTTTATAGGTGTAGAAAAATGGTCAAAAATTTGTTCCTTATGTGGCATTTCTGCCACTCAACAATGTTCACCACACTGTAAAAAAGTTTACTGCAGTCGGATTCATAAACTGTGGGATTGGAAAAGTGGACATAAAGCTGCTTGCATTGCTCAAAAAGAACAGAGCGTGGAACAAAGCCTTGATCAAAGCCTTGAGGATCGATTTTTATTTCCTCAATTTGAAATTGTTTTTGAAAAAGAACAATATTCTGAAAAAGATTGTTCTAAAGAGAGTGACGAAAAAGATACTGAAGCTGAAGAATTAAAAAAGTTTGAAGAACTTGTTAAGAGCGGAAAAGTTTCATTGCAGTCTGAAAAAGGTGTAGATGAAGATCTACTTAAATTGGCTTATTGTGAAGACGATGAAGTACTTATGAAATTTAAAGAAAGGACCCAGAATGAACCTAAACAAGTAGTCAGGTAAATTAATTAACTTTTTCCAAATAAGTTTAAATTAATCCATCAATACAATTATTCATATATTTTATATTTTTGTTTAAAAGGTATAACAGAGGCGGTCATCCATTGTTTGTTTCATCAAGCAATCAACCTTCTGAAATTCCAAATTGTGAACTTTGTAATAGTGAAAGACAATTTGAATTCCAGATAATGCCTTACTTATTAACTACTCTAAAAATAGATAGTGCTTTCAACTGTATACATTGGGGTACAATAGCAATTTACACATGTAAAAATTCATGTAAACCAAATGCAGATTATGTGTCAGAATATGCATGGAAACAAAGCTAAGTTGATGAGATTATGCGATACATACAATTCTTTAAGGTTCATATTAAAATTTTTACAATTCTTACTAATTGTTATCAAATTTGATATCTGGGTAGTGATTGTGAAGCATATCTAGTCAATCTTTCTTATATGCTTTGTTATATATTTAGAAAGATTAATAGAACCTTTTATGCACATGTTCTCAATTGTATTTGCAACTGATTGCGTACTTCAGAAAGATTTGTAATAATATTGACAAACCACTCTGGTGTGAAAATCAAACTTAGCATAAAATGAGAAAATCTTTGTAACAAATCTTCGACAGTGAAAATAGATGTGTATAAGAAAACAATAATGACAATACATTTTCTTTTGTGTTTCAAATTTAATAGCTCAACACAAGGTGAAATTCCCTTGATTTGTAAATCAACCAAAATAAAGTAAAGTAATGTAAGTACGACACATGAAGTCGCTTAGATTCAGGATCATTTCTGTAAATGACAGAGGCTTTTGCCATTTTTTACTATGTAAGCCAGCACCCATAGATACTTCTTTATTTACAAAGATAAAGTAATAACTTTTTTATTTATTTTTTTTACTTCATTGGATCACTTATTTCAAACTTTTTAAAGTTTCTATTTGAACATATTATGCTGCATTTTTATGACAGCAAACCAAATCAATTATTTTTATAATGAAAACATTAATTCATTCATATGTCTCTGTATCACGTATTCCATATCGCCTCAAGAAGAAATAGGATACGTCTAGTCGTTAACAGACTGTGACTGCAGGAAAATAAGCTGTCGAGAGGAGCGTCGTCGGCTCGACGTTTCTGCACATCTTAACGAATTAAGGCTTAAATTGCCTCGAGATTGGACCCTCCCAAACTCGTTGCGCGAGAGAAAATGAGCACAATTGTCGTCGAAAGATTTCTAAAAAAAAAAATAGCTGAAAGTTTAAAATTTTTATAAGCGTATAGTCAATCAAGTTTAAATTCGCTCGAAAAGTGGCTAAAAATTGCGATTTTCCGAGCCGCGCAATGAAAACACCCAAAACCTGCTCGATGCGTGTAATTGTACGCACGTTTTAATTTACGTCATACTTGCAAAAAAAAAAAAAAAGAACGTAGAAAATGTAATATTGCAAAAAGTATATGGTAGCGAGCGGCCGCGCTATATATCACACGCGAAGCTGCTTCGGCTAATTACTTCGTACACACACACACGCACGCACTTGCGCGCATAATTAGATAATGAAAAATAAGTCAGGCAATTGTTTCATGCTTATATATACAGGATCTAGCTTTCGCGACCCATAGCAAGATGCCTCGCCGAGACAAGCCTGCACGTGATGCGTGCGTAATATACGATAATAAAGTTATGGTACTGTACAACACAGCGAGGGCGCGTAGACCGATATTATCGTGTGCGAATTCGTACATAATGTGTACTCTTCAATTTGTGCTATAGTGGAAGCTTTCGATCAGCAATTATAGGTTTTTCGAATAAGAACGAAGTTTTAACTTGTACAAATATTGCAGATGATTTTATGGTTCCAAAAGATCTAAATAATTGAAAACCTTAGATTCAATTGTTTTTTTTTTTAGGTAATCTCAACTTCTGATATTGAAAGGCCGCGAGTATAAGGAATAATACTAATAATAGTGCTACGAATTAGGTAATTGTTTTCTTTATCAGTAAGAATAGAAAATAATTTATTTGAAGAATAAATGAAATGCAAATTATTGTAAGATTTTTAATAAAAAAATAATAGTTCAATAATTTCATCGTAAAAATCATAAAAATGTCGACAACAGCTTTTTTTCATTTAAAAATTTTTAAAAATTTGATATTCGTATTTTTAATTATATGTCGGAAGATTCTCATGACGAACGCGCGACTGTCGCTGTGACTTATATTTGACCTCTGAAGCTTTTGCGGCAGCGTAAATTTGTGAAAGAAATATTTTATATAATAAATAATACGCTTGTAATTTTTTTTTTTGGTTTTTTTATAAACAACGAATAACATTTCATTGATAAAAAAAGCGTGTACTGCCGTAATTACAGCGCCTAAGTACACAGGCGCGCGGATAAATGAAATTTTCAATTCTGCCGCTCGATCTCATCTCGTGTTCTCAGCGCCGACCGCTGCTGGTGGAGGCGCATGTCTACAAAATTCGTGTTGCGTTGCAGCCACGAACGAAGCCGACGAGCCTCTTCTTAAGTTAACTGTTCGTACAAAAACACGTGAAATAACCCATAAACGGTAAGTAACGCAATAACTTGTACTTTTTAACTTTATTTACGCTGAAAATTGTTGCGAATGCATGATTAAAGGCATCGTCGTGAATCAGATGTATTTTTATTTTTATTTTTTATATTGCATCGCGATTAAAAATCTAATGATGCACGGATGATTCGGGCAATACGCTCATGTAACCTTCATTAACGGGATGCCGAATTTAGGCTAGAATTATTTTATTTTCGAACACATTTTTCGATATGAGTATGCCGAATTTTTAAACAATATAATGATAGGTGGGTGTTTTCGCGTCGTTGTTTTTTACATATCCATATAGCTTTTTAAAAAATATTCCCTGTAAAGCTCAAAACACGTGTTTGAATATTTTTCTGTTTTAGTTAATTTTTTTTTTGTAAGGAGTAACTAATTTTTAGAGGAATATCTCTCAATAATCTTTCGAAATTGCGACAAAAAATAATCACTTCGGACCGGCTTCGAGAATCGCTTTAATTATCAACGATTGAATTATTAATTGTAATTTCTTTTTATCTCGCAGATGGCTGACGCCGCTCCAGCAGCACGAGGAGGATTCAGAGGAGGTTTCGGTGGTGACCGAGGTGGTCGCGGCGGACGTGGACGCGGTCGTGGTCGCGGTCGCGGTCGCGGACGCGGCAAGGACGAGGCCAAGGAGTGGGTCCCCGTCACCAAGCTCGGCCGTCTCGTACGCGACGGTAAGATCACCTCCCTCGAACAGATCTATCTGTTCTCTCTGCCCATCAAAGAGTTCGAAATCATCGACTTCTTCCTCGGAGCCCAGCTGAAGGATGAGGTACTCAAAATCATGCCCGTTCAAAAGCAGACCCGCGCTGGTCAGCGTACCCGCTTCAAGGTAAAGAAAATTATTCCACCTACGTGTTTCCCTTATTTCTTAAACAAATTGTTCTAATTCAATGATTCCTTTTTTTGCAGGCATTCGTTGCCATCGGTGACAGCAACGGACACATTGGCCTGGGTGTCAAGTGCTCCAAGGAAGTAGCCACCGCCATTCGCGGCGCCATCGTTTTGGCCAAGCTCGCCGTCGTCCCAGTGCGTCGCGGCTACTGGGGTAACAAAATTGGCAAGCCCCACACAGTACCCTGCAAAGTCACCGGCAAGTGCGGCTCCGTACATGTGCGACTCATCCCTGCGCCCAGAGGTACCGGCATCGTGTCCGCCCCCGTACCCAAGAAGCTCCTGCAGATGGCCGGTATCGAGGATTGCTACACGTCCGCCCGCGGATCCACCTGCACCCTGGGTAACTTCGCCAAGGCCACCTACGCCGCCATCGCCAAAACGTACTCCTACCTTACCCCCGATCTGTGGAAGGAGATGCCACTGTCGGCCACCCCCTATCAAGAATTCGCCGACCATTTGGCCAAGAATCACCGCGTTGCCGCCGTCAGGCCCGCAGCCGATAGTGTATAAATATTTTTTTCTTAATAAAATAAACTTTTATTAAATTTTATATGAATATCTTTCTTCGTTTCCCTACACCCATTAGTCAATTTTTTTTTACTTTGATCAATGCGATGACAGCAGTTGTCATGTATGGTTGCGATTTTCTAGTTACTTATTCTTTACATTCATACTGAATAATATTCGTTCGAGAAATATAATTATCAATTTTAGAAACCAAATGTACTTAGTTATATTTCTCATGTGAAATGCCCTGATACTATCAGTGACTTTATTTTTTGTATTGAAGTTGATGTTATTTTAAAATTTAGTGTTAAATTAATTAAATTAGTTTATTTGCAAACTTTCAAAATTACTTCTCACTTCCAAAAGCTTTTTGCTGATACAGAAATGAAAAAATTCAGAAGCTAAAATGAAAGTAATTGGATTACTAGTAAAAATTTTATCATAGAACTTTTCATATTGAATTTCAATACGTTAAAAGCTATGTAATTTTTTAAATATTTAGTTGGCTCAATATGAGGATTAAGAATCTGCACATAGTTTTATAACAATAATTTATAAAAACAGCAATAGCAAATATTTACATACAATGTACAAATTATGAACACTTGACTATTTAATGAGGTACAACAAATGATCCACCATTTTCTTCTAATTCAATATCGTCTTCTTCATCGTCATTACCTCCTACTGTGGTAGTATGTTTTAAGAATTCACCGCCTTCACTTTTACCATCATGTATCAAATCAACCATTGGGATTGGGTGCATTTTTCTGACTGCGAATTCAATTTTAGCACTCATAACTACTTCCAAACCCCCACTGATGAAATTAAGTACTCTACATTCCATTGGGCTTCCAATTCTGCCCAATCGACCACACCTATTTGTGAAAAATTAATGTTATTATGTTCGGATTTATAAATATAATAAAATAAATTAGTATTAACACGTTACCTATGAATGTATTCTGCAGTTATAAGAGGAAAGTCAAAGTTAATGATTTCTTTGGCATAAATTGTATCAAGACCTCTTGATCCTGCATCTGTGGTGGTTAAAATATTGACCTGACCATTTTGAAATTTCAAAAATTTTCCTTTTCTCACTTCTAATGGCATTTTTCCATGTAAATTAACGGAATCAACATTGAATTGTTTGAGAAATATTTTTGTGAAGTCACAAGTGGCAGTATTATTACAAAATATAATAATTGGGGTTTTATTTTTGATTTTAGATTTCAAATGTTTCAAGAGCATCATTGGCTTATCTGATTTTCCAACCCTTAAAAATTTTTGTGGAACATTTATCTGATGTTGGTTTCCAGTGACTACTCTAGTAAGAGTGTCCGTCTAGAAAAGTATTAAATTAAATAATTTACTTGTTGTTGAACACAATTATTAAACTATGAAATTATTCATTACAATAACTTACATTTACAATATTTTGAAGTAAATTAGGCAAGTCTTGAGGAACTGTGGCTGAATTCAGAGTTAGTTGAGCAGCTCTTGGAAATTTTTCTTCAAATAAGTTTTCATCGCCAGATTGAAACTAAACAAACATTTCCACTTATGAATACATGAATATGAACACATGAATAGATTTTGATGAGTATAAATAAAATTCTTACTTTAATTTTTTTCAATATGCTACATGTTTCATCAATGAAAGTAGAATCTAACAAAGTATCAGCTTCATCAACAACAACGTGTCTAACATTGTCCAATTTATAAATCCTGGTACCTACTAATCTACCTAATACTCCAGAAGTCGCAATAAGTAAATCAACTTCTCCTACATGGGGATTAGATATCCTCTGTTTTAAATGACCCCCTACTAGTGTGCCAATCTTTATATCGAGACCTTTGCATAATTGTTTTGCTACTTTCTAGAGAAACAAAAAAAATTTTGTACTTAATATAGCATGGGGTGTCTGATTTAATTTTATTGCAATTACTTACAGAAATTTGTTGAGTCAATTCTCTGCTCGGCGTAAGAATAAGTCCCAAAGGCTTATTAAAATTATTTTCATTATAAGGTTTCCAATCCAATAATTGTTGTATCAATGGAATCAAGTAGGCATACGTTTTGCCAGATCCTGTTTCAGCTGTCATTACCACGCTCTCTCCTCTAAGGATTTTTGGAATTCCTTTCTTTTGAATCAGTGTCGGATGTACCTTATTTTGTTCTTCAAGATTTTTCAGAATTGTTTGGTTCAATTCAAGATCACTAAAATTAAACTTTGTTTGTACGGTCTCTTCATTCTAAGTAAAAAGAAAAAATGTCATAAACTTTTGTGCAACTTGTCTAAAAATTATATCGTATAACTAATTATATTTATTTGCATAAATTACTTGATATGTCATTGGATAAATGGTGAAATGATCACCCCTAGAATCTCGATGATGCCATCCTCTGGTTACCAAAGGTATGGTCTCAAATTTCGGATACACATCTCCTTCGTAAAAGTTGAACTCTGGCCTTCTTGATTTTATTATCAATTTTCTTTTGGCTTTGGGTTTGTCGAGTGCTTCATTGTCATCCTGATCCGCTGGATCGATCTTTCTTTCGTGATCATAAATCTGCACGGATCTCTGTACAAGAATAAAAAGAACCATAATAAAGTGTCAAAGTTGCCATTTATCAAAACATTGCAAAAGTATGTGGTACTTACAGAGTGTATTGCCGATCTGCGAATGTTGACAATCGATTCGTCGGCCACTGTGAAACAAAGTTTGCACAGACGAGGAAACATCTTCGGCGTTCGAAACAACAACAACAACAGTAAACAACTTTTGCTCGTACTCTTTTGAAACAACGATAGGTTAACACCGGTGATTTCTCTTTGTAGCTAAAAAAAACTTCAGAGTATTCGGCGCATGGTGCAGATAGCAGACACTATACATGTGTGTTCAGACTGTTCAGAGTATGAAAATGCACGAGCGGCACGATCGCACCCGGTCACGTTACGTCACGCGACGAGCGTTACATACGCACGCACCTATATACATATATATACGAATCGCGTAGGCTCATTACACGTGCCTGCGTGCATATCTCCGGCGCGTCTCGCGGATTTTCCCGAGCGATCAGCACACACCCGTCGAAATTGCTAAATAATATACACGATAGGCTTATCTTTGATCCTTGGATCGCGAGACTCGACGGTGAACTCCGAAACTCCGAATAACGTGCGTTTGCTCAGAATGGAATAATGAATGGAGCGAACGTTTAATCGGCGAATGAAAATATCGATCGAAAAAATTGACGATTTAAAAAAAAGAATCTTAACATTTTTGAAAGAGCTTCACGGTAGCGAATGGAACTTTAAATACAACTTGTTGTGAATTATAAATGAAAAAGTTAAACAAAAGGGGTACGTTCGATAAAATTATGACAGTCATCTTATAGATTTGTTATTTAGGATCGGAGATACATGTAAAATGAGTGCAGTCAATTTTTTACTTTAGAACGTTTTAACTCTTTTTCAAAATTTATTTTTTAATCAATTTACAACCAGCAAAGTTGACGTGATTTGGAGAAAAATACATTTTAATATACCATATAGTACCAAGATTATTAGGATTAAAACAGTGAAAACAGACTTTAAAAATTAATTTTAAACGAATCAATTTATTTATACACTTATAAATATTCCAATGCAATAAAAAATTGGCACGAAAAGCTTAAACTTCCCTAGCGGGTAAAAACGAACATTTTCCCATGTTTACAAAACAATACCCAGTCGTTGCGGCTCGTTATTTTCAGTTGACATATATACGTATATGATCGAACGGACGATTGACATTCGTTCTTACGCTAAAATAGATATCCCATTCGAATTCTCAAACATCATTGACTCGAAACAGATCATGCTCTTTCGAGTGTCCTCGAGGTTTTCGTTACAATTCTTACGTAAAAAATATAAACATATAAATTTATAACTAATATAAAACACACGTTATTATCCTCGCTAAAAACTATTAACTCAGTAATTTTATACAATATAAAAATTAACTCTCTAACATACATATATTAAATAATATATACAGGCAAAGTTCAAACGTCAATTTAATCCAAGACTCGATAATATACTATTATCTATTATCCATATCCGTCAATGACAGCCGCAGCTCTTGACCACCATGTTCTTGTACTTCTTGAGTATGACGTTGCTCTCGTCGAGAAAGTAGAGCACGGATATGGGCGAGAGCTTGGTCGGGGCGCAGCAGGGCTTGGGCACCTTGCCCGGATTCACCAGGTGCACGAGGGTCTGCACGATGGCGTGATTCGTCGCGTTCATGTGCGCGTTGAGCGGAAAATTGCACTCGCCGCTGCAGTAGTAGGCGTCGTAGCCGTCCGGCGCGATGATCCAGTCCTGCCACTGGAGATCGCGAAAGCTCACGTACAGCGTCTGGATCTTGCAGGTGCGCGAGTTGTGTTGCTGCTGTTGCTGTTGCTGTTGCTGTTGCTGGAGTAAAGGATCGAGATAGGGGTTGACGCTGCGATACTCGCTGACGTCGTGGCCGCCGCCGAGTTTGCGTCGACCGCGGCGGGTCTCGCGCTTGCTCCGAGTCTTGCTGCTGCCCTCCAGCAGCGGCTTCTTGTTGTGTTGCTTGGACTTGGAGTGGGGCGAGCTCTTGAGGAAGGCCACGAGGAAAGGCTGCCGATCGTCGGTGCCCTTGACGCCCACCAGGCCGATCTCGTCGGGTCGCATCTCCCTGTGGCCGCTGCTACTGTTATCACTGCCGCTGCTGCTCAGCACCGACAGATAGACGCCCCGATTGCTCTCGGGCTCGCGCACCCAGCTGGCCAGGGCGGCGCTGCAGTTGAGAGCTATCCAGCCGTCGTGGCCGGCCGAGGCGTTCACCGAGTCGAGGTAGCGCAGCTCCTTGTCCGCGTTGGCCCCCTGGCCCGAGGATCCCAGCACCTGGTACAGGCTCAAACTGAAGCTACCGTCACCACTGCTGTGCTGGTGATGGTGGTGGTGGTGCTTGTTGCGCGCCAGTCCGGACCGGCGATAGATGCGCAGCTCGGCGCCGAGCAGACGCTCGCCCTCCGTGGGCAGCTCCGAGACGTCGAACCAGAGCCGCTTGTCGCGCTCGTGCCTCAGGCCGGGCACGTGATGGGTGCGCGCGGCGAAGGTGGCGATGGCGTCGCTCTGGTCGATGGCGCGCAGCTCCTGGCCGCTCAGATCGAACTCGCTCGTGGTCAAACGCGACGAGCCGCGCGCCAGCGAGTCCCGATACACGTCCAGGAGGAAGCGGGGCGCCGATCGGCGCACCTGTGGCCGGTGGTTTCCACCATTGGGAGTGTTGTGCAGCCGACGGGGCGGCCTCTCCGGCAGCCCGAGCAGACTCAGGATCTCGTGCTCGACCTCGCGCTTCTCGCTCTCCGAGACCGAGCGCTGGATCACCGTCTGGTCGTGGCCGTTGTCCACGTAGAGGCCGCTCGCCCGATGAGCCTCGACGAGATGATCCCGAGCCAGCAGCAGCAGCCACAGACCTAGCACTAGGGAAATTAAGCCGAGCCCACGCATTTTCGCACTCTTTGTGTGTGTATGTGTGTTTCAACGATTATTATTATTAATTATTTGTGCACTGCACTGCTACCCGTCGGACCGTTCGTCCGGCTCGGCGATGCTGGCCGCATCGGAGACCACTACGTTTTTTTATTTTTTTTGTTGTTTACCAGCCGCGCACGGCAGCAACAGCACAAACAGCCAACGAGATCGAGATGTGTCGAAATATCCCGTTTTCTCACTCTCACACACACGTATATATCGGAGCACGAACTAGTCGTCCGACTTTATTCTCTCTCGCGAATATGCTTTTTTTATGAATCTTTGTTACATAAAAAAACAAAAACGTTTTTTTAGCTGCTAAGGAGGAAGTACACGATCGGACGAGATCGCGTCGGGCAGCATCGCGTCGTCGTCCTCCTCGTCGTCGTCGTCGTCGTCGGCCGAGTCGGATCTCGAGCAAGCACTAACTAAAACATTCGCGTGTACAAGAGAGAGAGAGACCATACTCGATCTCGCGGAGTAGTATATATTGAGTCGGCTCGTTGTTGGGAGGCTGAGGCTCTCGGCAAATCAGCTTTTCTCTTTCTCGCTGCCGAGATGGCGAATGGAATGTCATAGGCGCCGTCTCTCTCCCACTATGGCGCCCCTTCTCTCTCTCTCTCGCTTTTGCTCTCGACTTCTTTATAAAATATATATATATATGTTATATCCGAGCCTCTTGGCCACTCACCGCGAGAGCAGCAAAAGCTTATACTATACGAGACTCGCGAGCAAGATCTTAAGGACGTTTGGACGAGAGCTCCAAGATAGATCGAGAGAGAGAGAGAGGAAAAGAACGAGAAAAGCCAGCTGCTGCTGCAGCGACGCAACTCGCGAATCTCCGCGGACGAGACTGCATCGATCGCTGTGCTTCGATTGAAAATTATATCGAAGCTCACCTGTCCGCATACACGAGTGCGATTATGTATTACGCTCGGTGTATAATAGCCGCGCGATCGGATTCGCACTGTTTACATCGCTTCGTATTTATAACGCTGCAGTTCGAGCCGATTTTTCGGCCGGATTTTTGAAAAGTATTTTCAAACTATCGATTCACGTATATAAATTTCCTCGAGACCATAACTCGTCGTGAGAGGAAAGAGAGAGAAATCGATCTTTTTCTTCCGTCCGTATACAAGGTATAGTACACCAACGAATTTCGTGAATGACGTCGCTCGCGATGATTGAATATCCGCATTCGCTGCGTATATGTATATTAAGTCAGTCATGTTAGCCGCGACTCCGAATCGACTCCTTTTTTTTTTTGACTCGCCTTAATGTAGTCGCAAAAGTCGTACATTAATACACACGCTTACCAAATGGACTCTCGTTGTTGTTTCTCTTTTTCCTTTTAGCGCGGCGCGCGCGCGGACGAGGGAAGCCGAGAGGAAGGGGGGCCGCGCCGCATTATAATATTTAATGTATTAATATACGACGACGATGAGTTTAGAAAAAGACGCGCATTATAATAACGAGTATAAAACATATTTGCTTGCACGCGGCTCTCGAGAGCTGCTCCTGCTGCTGCTGCTGCTGCGTGAGTCATTCGTTTTTTTTTTCGGCTACTTATGCGGTCCCCTTTGTACGGGGCCGCATAATATATGGCTTGATATATTCTTGTAAAGTCGTGAGTGTTTTAAAAGCGCACAAAAAAGCAGCCGCTTCCGTCCTGCGCGCGAGAGAGAGCATCCTCGTTACAGAAAAATTTTCCGCAAATTCCGTCGCGCGCCGTATTATAATACGTGAGGTAATGCGATGTAACGAGCTGCCGCTGCTGCTGCTGCGACGACGAGCGAATTACTTCGTTCAACGAGAGACTCAAAAAATCGCCTCGTAATAAAACAAACAATTAGTCCTCGTGTTTGGTCTAAAATTGTAATTACTCTGGCAAATATTAAGGATCTATTAAAAGCGGATTACATTAATAGACTTTTGACGTTTTCAAGGAACAATCGATGTTTAATTTCATCGCTACCGGGAATAATATATAGGCAGATCTATAAATATAACGCGTCAGCGAGAGATCGTCTCGTCTAAGTTATAACTCGAGAGAGCTGCCGATGCTGCTTCTGCTGCTGTTCTCGCTCCGATGGGCGTATAATATCCATGTTATTGAAAATCGCCTCGTATCAATAACATCGCTCGCTCGCTCGCGCGGACAGATGCCAATTAGATAATCATCGGTGTTATACTTGCGCCCCCCGAAAATTCCGAACGTCGTATTCCCGCTGTATTACAGCCGTGCGCGCGCGCGCCTAATTTTGCCTCGAGAAAATTCGATGAAATATCGCGATGTACAGGTTTATATAAGCCACAGCGAGGCGCGAATCGACGTCAGTAAAATTACGATCATGGGCTCGGTAAGTTGTATCCTCGCTCCCTCGCTCGAGTCTCGACCGAAATTTCCCCCTCGAATTGCAAATTTTTAATCGGTGCGCGCGTACGCGCCAACTTTGCGTGTGTGTTTTTTACAGGTCTAATCGACGACTCAGTCAAATCACGGCGATGCGGGAGTATGGATTTTAGCAGGGTGCACGATCGTAAGTTGTTGTTATTTTTTTCTTCTTTGCTTTTTGCTTCATTTCTCGAGTTCGAGTTCGATTTCGTTCGTAGCTGGAAAATCTGTAGCGTATTCTCGTTTGATTTCAGTTCAACGCACATGATAGTAACTGCCATCAAACATGCTGTTGTCATTATGTAATTTGACCAGGTCGGTCGATTGGGGTGAGTGTCTTAAAGCTCGACAATTCGACTTTTTGATTCTGTACGATTAATAATATCTCTCTCTTTTTCGTTTGTTTGTATTGTTGCAGCAACTAATGGGAACAATTTTACTGAACACTTCAAATCTTTTCTTTAACTATAAAATGTAAGTTTTCAACTACGAAGCCGATTATCTTTACAATTTAATAATATCCTACTCTTCGTACTAATCAAAACTTTGAATTATTTTTTGGTTCGCAGGTACATCTTTCTATTATTCATTTGTACAGAAAAATGTAAATTCATTCGCAGCCAATAACTGCGATGCCTGTAAGTTTTAGTTTTAAGTGATATTTTGTAAATTTAGATTCTAGTTTGTAAAAAATTGCATGCAGCGTCACAGCTGTATTCTTGTTAAAATTTGACGTTCAGATTTCGTAAAATCAAGTCGCATTAGTTGATATCTTTATTTCGGTACATTTTGAAATGTCGGTAAAACGCCAGAATAACTGTTCAAAGATTTTTCACAAATTTAATCAGCTGAAATTTTGATTAATTAATTCCACAGTTGTTACTGGAGTAATGTAAATCAACTTTTAACATCTTTACTTGATAGATTAAAATGTACGAATGATTAGATCTGCAAGATCTTAATATTAGTCATTTAAGATTATATTTGTACATTATTCTCGCAACAAACTTTAGTAACACTTGCTCACAAACTTCTAACTGTAACATTTCTTATATTTACTATTAAATAAAGTTTAATTCTTATCCTAACTCTCGCATTCTGATTATTCATCAACCCATCACATTATATAGCTACTTCGAGGAGACACTATCAAATTCGCGGTAACGTTAAATTAACTTTTGAAAGAGATTAAATTATTTCATGATAATCTATATTGTTTACGGGACATTTACAGAAAATAACAAATGATTATTAATACAATTTTCTTTATTTGTGATCAACGTTGTATAAAATGTACAAAAAGCACGCACTTGTGAACAATTAACGCCGTCAATAATATCGATATTTAGATATCTTATTTTATTTTGGTATAGTATTTTATATTCATTTAAATAACTAATATAATCTGATCAGGTTCAAATATCTGAATTTTTCTACTGTATAACTTATGCGATAAAGTAAACGATAAACTTGTATCTATGATGCAGAAATTATTAACAAAGATTTTTCAAATGTTAATTGTCTCATTCTAATCAATTTTTTAACAATAATCACAAAATACAACCACGTAAAGTAGGTAAGTGATTAAATCATAATTATTTCACTAAGAAAAAGCACATCTTCTATAAACAATTTTTAAATACTTTACATTCACGAGAATTTTTTTCGTCTACATTAAACTTGAAAACTTTTCCCTCTGTGAAGGAAAAATTTAAATAAAATATACGCAATCCATGTGATTAATTAAATTCAATATATATATTTTAACATATGCATAAATAAGTAATTATCAATAACTGAAAATGATAAATATTCATACTTATAATTTAAAAGTAATAATCTATGCAATATACTATCATTACATTCTATAAGTACGAGTTGTTTTTTGGAATGTTCTTATTGTCATCTTCATCGATTTTTAAACAATCTTCAACTCGTACTTTGCGTCTACAACAAGTTGTAAACGCATCTATAAAAATTGGACGGACGGACCTGTTTTTGGGAATTGGAAAAGTACAAAGGCAGCAAGTAGAGTTTATATTACTAATGTTACTTTTTGAAGCACAGAAAAGATACAGACTGCAGAAGTCCCCAAATAACTTCGCAGATCTTGAATCAACACGAGTCTTATGCGCACGTCACGCTTTCATTAAGAAAATTACCTTGTGTTTTTGTTATAAATATAGAAATCGTTAATAGAGTGATTTTTATCTAAAGTCAAAAAGATACCTTTTACCTAGCATAGTATAAAATACTACAGTCTACGATGCAAGCACTTTTCATATCACATTGAGCGATTATATAACGATACTGAAAGTTCTGGCAGTGATTTTGTGCAATTCGAATAGTATTATTTACATCCGGAATAAAAAATAAAAAAAAAGATATTTTTCATGTTGTATATCAAAATTTATATTATACATTTATCGTAAATAATTATTTTACTATAGTACATTTTTATAAGAAATCGTTCTTAATTTACATTAGATAATATTGACAAATAAATCTTATTTTTTATTTTAGCACTATTTGTATAGAAAAAATTAAAGTAATTTTAAAGCTGCAAGACAGATCCATCCAACCAGTTAAATTGTGTACATCAAGTTCGGACAAATAATGTATTTGATACAACAAAATATATATGATTGAATTGTAAAAAGTCGTTTTGAATCAGTTAGAAAATAAAACCATTTAAAACTATGGACAAAATAATCAAAAAAATATTGCAAAGGCTGAGATGGATCGTTGTCTCTAATTAATATCGCATTTTTGTTCGAGAAGCACACTTACAAAATATACATTATATATCCGTGCAATCCTTGGTGTGCTCTCTAAAATACTACCAGAGATGTCGAATTGTCTTTATAAAAAAAAATGTATACTGCTAGGAGATCATGGTAACAAAAGGTTATCCTTTTGTTATATTTTCAATGTGTTAATTAATAAATTCTACATTACAATAGAAAAAATTGATATACTTGAATCAGTAAACTGATTCTTCAATTGTCAAAAAATTTTTGTAATTATATCTACAAAACTAAATTAGAAAATAGAGCTCTAATAAATTATTATCGCATAATTTATTAAGAACTACATTAATAAGGTAAGATACTAAAGTAATATGATACACATGATAATTGATCTAAATTATAACTAACTCGCTTGTGTATGTTTACATATATATTTATAAATTATAAATATATTTTTTATACCAATTGTCTGGCTTATCGAACTAAATGTTGGATGTGGTTTGTGTTTCCTAGTTGTAATGTTTTACATAGAAAATAAAGGCAAATCACATAGCGGTCTCGAGAGGCTGGCTCTTACTTCTGGCAGCCGCTGATAAGTGTGTGAGTTCGGTTGGTTCGTTTGGTGAATAAGCGTCGAAGTTCGTCTCGAGAATGGCCTCACTCTTAGACCGGAAGGGTCTGTCCTCGTCAAGATTGGTTTCAAGTAGAGACTCGCTACGCGGCCTATCTTCGTAATAGTACTCGTTCTGATAGCCAAGATGGTGATGTCCATTTTGATGGTGGTGGTTGCTGTGGTGGTGGTGTTGTTGGTGATTGTGCGTGTTATGGTGATTGTGAGGATGCGGCAACGTAGCACTGTTACTGTAGTACTCAGGAACGGGCTCGGACGCGGGGGTAAGTGGTGATCGATCGTACGTGTTGGTGTTCACCGCGCTTACACTGTCATATTCCAGCGAAGCACTTGTTGTATGCAAATCTCGCTTGAGATCGTTGATGGAATCGGTCGTTCCAAAACTTGAGTTAAGAGGAAGCGTCGATACGTGGTGCAAGTAACCCGAAGAAATATCCACATTTTCGCTATTCAACGATGAAATTTCCTGTGAAAATAACGATAAATAAATTATTTTTCCATCAAGCGCCAATTGAGCTATTGTTCTCAACATTTTATAGGACAAAAAAGAACTTTGCATCCGCAACGAAATGCTAGGAAATCATTTCGTTTTGGGTGTACAGTGAAAAAACTGTTGCAGTATTTTTTTAATGAAGACTTGAACAAATTTAGCGAAAGATGTAATTATTGCATAGAAGTTTTTTAATGACATGAGTAAATTAAGATTTTGAATGAATGAAATTATTTTTTTAAGAAAAATTTGTTTGATTTTTTCAATAATTCGAAATTAAGATAACTTTGATTCAACGATAATAAATATCTCATAAAATTGCCAAGAATATGAGTCTCTTATAATAAAAATTGTTGATAAAATTTTATAATATTCAGTTGTAGCAAATAAAAATTATTCTACTCGAAGTCATGATAAAGGAAAGCGATCATGCTATCATTAAAAACAACAAAACGCTAATTAATTAAAAACATAGTCATATATCAGAAATAAGTTTAAATTTTTTAAATAAAGCTAAGATAAGGCATGAAAGCGTACATACATTGCAACATTGACGAGCACGAAAGCAACTTAGAGATTTTTTGTGAAGTATCTAGTTATATTATAGGGTTTACAAGTTCAATCTACTATTTTACAAAAAATCTCTAATATTATACACGCTTTATAATATAAACACAATGCTTATTTCATGTTTTTGTGCTCTAACCTGCATAGGTGGTACCACGACCACGCGTCTTTCCAGCTTAGCATGTTGCTTTTGATATTAATAAAATAATTAGTCAAGAATACAAAATACATTTCACATAAATTGTCTTTCTCATATTTCTCATTTGGGTGATTTTATTTCAATTAGTAATTAAAATTGATGCAATCATATTAATTAAAAAATTAAATAAACTCACGGCTATGGGTTTTCTTCTTTGATATGCTAGCTCTGAAAATCCTGACGTTGAGCCTACGGAACGCAATGAATGCAATGATTGTCGAATGGAGTTGCGCCTTTCGAGTCGTTCGACTCCTCGCTTTTTCGACTTGGTAAACCAAAAGATGCAAGCCACACCGACTAACAGTATGAGAAGGAGTATTGCACATATTGCCCCGACCACGACGATATCCTTTTTCCAGGACAGTGGATCGATTGAAATGCGTGGATCAATTTCGCAAATAAATGGATTGGTCTCTTCGCATACGTCAATTCTGATACTTTTGAATATAAATATTGTACACTCGTTGACTCTATCAATATCTTGAACCCAAACGCGCTCTGAATATTCGAATGGATGTTGTTGCTTTTGTAGGAAGCGCCATAACTCGTGATAATCACTCGAAACATAAGGCATTGAAGCATTCGCCGACTGTAAGAAATAATAATGTCATAAATGAATAAGTAGGCTATTGTGAAATTCTTATTGAACGTCAAATGTATACGTACCATACAGAAATCTCTTGCGGCGAAAAAAGTCATGGGTGCTCCGATGTAAATGTAACAGGTGTCACCGACGAGATCCCAGGCAGGTGGGCACTTGCCGTTTAGTACCGATCTGTTGTTCATTTGGAAAGGTTGGTATTCGACCTGCAGCAGCTCAGGCGAATCCCCTCGGTCCCTAATACGGCCGCCCACTGCGAGTGTCTCGTTGTAGCCCCAGTAATTGTGGCGAGCGTCGACGCTCGAGCGCCACATGTCGAATTGACTGCAATTGAATTATCAAATTTAGAATGAATAATTTTATGATGATGAAATGCAATTACGACACAAAAGACGAAGCTCAATCGATGAAAACATTGAAAGCAATTTATCTATATTTTTAATATAAATATTTGTTCCTTGAATAACATTTAACGTTTTGATATTTACGATGATTAGTTATTCAAAAAGTGCTTTTTTGTAATTGCTTTGCAATCTGAGAACTGCCGCTTTATTTATTGGCTGTGGGTTATTGACGAACAATTTCTTAATTTTACAAATAAAATTTTTTGATTGTCTGTGATACTTCAAAGATGTATTAACACAAGTTGACAATTTTACGTAAATAACGTGTTTGAACGAAAGCACCATTGATATAGTGAATAATTATAATTTGGGAAATAAAATTGTGACGAATATTTTGATGAGTGTGCTGATATTAAAAATGAATGGCCAAATCCCCAATGATGTAAAAATGAGCATTGAAGTACTGATAATTTTATCATGTGGTGAAAATCAGCACCAAATTTTTTCTAAGCGTCACAAGTATATACAACAAGAAGCGCGACGCTAATTTTGCCGTTTACTTACTTGGCATACCAGTCTGCTTCGACCACGCTGTTAGTTTTTTTTACGAGATCGAGAAAACATAAATGGAAAAAAATATAACTTAATAAATAAGAAAAAATGTATCTAAAGATAATAAAATAAATGAAAAAAACTCAAAAACAAACACCGAGCTAAACTCTATGAATTTGATCAATTAGGATGAAATTTAACTTAAATATCTCTTCAATATATCATGCACGATTCGATGTGAAAACATATACTCACAGAGATCTGTTGATGGTCAACATTTCGTAATCATTATCAGGGTTGAAAAATATGTTGTCTACGTATTGCTGGCCTGGCGTTCCAGCAACGATGGTACTTCTACCATCTCGATCCAGAGCGTAATTACTGCAATACAAAATTATTCAGTTAATGATTTCATTATTATTGAAATAAGGTATATATACGCTAACAAGAAAAGTATTTATTTTTACGTACTTATAGAATCCATTATGTGATGTACTTTGATATATGGGTAATCTCACTCGTTCAAACCCAGAAATTTCGAGTAAATGCTTTCCTATATTGCCTTGAAGATGATTTAAAGTCATGTTACTGACAACTTGCTTGAGAACTACATTATTCTCATAACTAGCGTTATTTTTGGTAAAGTAATTTCGGAAAATGGTTACTTCTTGATACGGGCTACTCTGTCGACCTTCAACGTATCTGATGAAAAAATTATTAGTATTAATTAATATTAATTTTGAAAATAATTGAGTGAACTTCAATACTCACAATGCTGGTTTGTTATAATTATCCGAGAAAAGATTGTTATGAATCCAACCTTTCATGGAAGTTGCAGAGCCCCTTGAATCTGATCTTATACTCAAACCACCTTGATTATTCATCACAAGATTATTCTGTAAAAAACACAAAAGGATTATTGCAGCTTCTTGTAATTTGAAGTCGATATTGAAAACTGTTCAAAAACTTACCCTAAAGTAAACCGACTGAGTATTTTGTACATCTAACGAGACTGCGGCTGTACACGTACTGAAATTTCCGTACAATTTTTCGCAGTTATTAACGATTTCGTTTCGCTCCAGTGTTATCACAGCATTGACTTCTCCTGCATTGGAATATTTAATAGCACCCTCCTCGCACTCCTCGAATCTTGAGTAGGAAATATTGTGTCGAACATCTCGATCTATTGGAAAATTAATCATTTGTTTATAGATACGAATGGTTGAAAATTCATTTAAACAATTATTTTACTAGTACTCACTAAATCCTATTGCCGAAATCGGCAGCGTGACAACTTCAGCGATGAAACCATGAACGCTGCTGGCTCCGCTAGCGAAAAATTTCACGCTCAAGCTCGGGCCCTGAGTGCGGAATAATTTCTTTTCCATTTTACTGTTGACGTAAAGCTCTTCGATTTTATTGACCGTGACATTATAAATATCTCCATCATAAAGAGTTAAGCTATCAGGTCGGCCCGGTTTCCCAGTTGAGTTGTATAAATTAAATTGTAAGAACCTGAAAATAAAGAATTTTTTCTTGAAATTCAAAACCAAGTATAAAGAAGAAATTACGAAGAAAGTTATTTACCTAAATCCAAAAGGTTTAGCTCGGTGACTACTGCGGAATATTTTTACGCAATTAACTGGATTATTGTCGTATTTGTAGTACAGAAGTACGCGTTCTTCGATAGTAACTTCTTTGGTAGTATCGCAAATGTCCAGAAGACTGAACAGATGATAGGGTACGTTTAATTGTTTCAATGGTGCAAAGGAACTTTCGTCTGCTTCTCGACCTTCTCCGGTTAGCGATAGAATGTTGATACCGTTTCCAAGCACATCCTTAACTCGATTGGAGAGCAGCTCGACCTTGCAACATTGAATGAATAATAGAACGTTTATTCAATTGCAAACATAAATGTGTGTTAAGAGTCAATTAAGCAATCGTTGAGTCAATAAACGATTCGCTCTACATTGTTGTGCGAGAATTTGATTTGACCAAAGATGCAAATCAATTCACTTCGCTTCGAATGTACAAATCGAATTAATATCCTCAAGATATCCATAGAGATTTGACAAATCGAGTAACTCAATGTAATCGCGATTATATGACATTAACACTTACCGTATGAGGCGGTGAAATAAAATTGATGCCGTGATGTGCGCTCTGATTAATACTGACTCGTTGAACTGCGGGCGATTTCATAATCGATTGGACGGCGGGCGACCGCTCGTTGTGCAGTATGCCGGCTCCGGTAATGTTGACATACTTAAGGGTCGACTCGACCCGGCGAAGCGTCTCGTGCGTCTCGTGATCGTGGATGCGGTACTCGTAGAGGTAATGCTCGAACTCGCTGTTGGCGATTCTCACGCCGCCCCAGTAGCTGAGGGATGGCTCGAGGTTTCGCTGGCCGCAGTGCAAAAATACAAACTCGCCGTCCCAGGGGCACTCGTGGCGATGACCGAACAATTGGCCGTTCAAGCGTATTTGGCAGCTTTCCAGGCTCTCCTCTTTGCCGGAGCATTGCAGGGGCTCCGGCCACGACCATATTCTCGACAGTGAACCGGGGTGCAGCTCGTAGCGCCTGTCGCGCGATACGTACACGTTTAAAGGCTCGTAGCCGAGTTGACGGCATGCGACTTGTGCGTTGCGTTCGGTGAACCTTGAATCACATATGGGTACCCATTGCAGGGTTGTACGGTTAAAATACTCCAAGAATCCTGCAATTAAAAAAATGAAAAATTTTACTTAAGTTTATTGGCAAGTTGAAAAATTGAAATACCATTAAATTTTTAAGTAGTACCTTCATTTGTAGAACTTGTACAATTTTCCTCCTTGCAAAGTCTTATAGTGTTGAGTTCAACGTCCCTCTTTTTATGTGTGGGAACTTCATTCGTAGAACTAATCGGTCTCATAACGATCTCGTGGCCCGGAGCACCAGCAGCCTTTAATGTTCCTAAGACTAAAATACCGACGTTCGGAGCGAACTCCATCACAACGTCAGGGTAGATGTGCAAGGTAGCGTCGGGCATAACTGTGATGTCTGAATGTATGACATAAGGTTCCGGTATCGGATAAAGGGATAAATTGTCGACGATGCGACCACCAAGATTGTTTAAATCAATTTCGGAAACTGGCTCCCACGAGGCTGATATCGATGAATCGAGTGTGTCGGTAATCAAGTAGGGCCGGAAATTTGCCACTGCGTGATCGTTCCAGTCGTCGAAGTCGAAGATCCTTCGCTGAATTTCCCGATCGTCAGCACTGCCCCACCAATTTTCGGTGACGTCGACCTTGTTATTAATTTTAGCGGTCTTAATGCCAGCAAGGAGCTCGTAATCCAGAGAATTATCGCCAAAGATATTCCTGTTTACTCGGACCTTTTGAATGCCGTGAAAACCGACAACATAGGTCGGTGTGTCGAACATTTGATGGAAGGCGTCACGAGATATCGTCAAGCTCTTGCTGTTCTGCTTGATCTCGTTGTACATGAATCTCGCATCGATTTCGCCTAAAATTTCTGATTGACTGTCGGCCTTGAATTCGACCATGTATATTCCAGTATTTTTCTCGATGCGATTGGCTTCGATTTTCATGCGTTTCTCCATGCCGCGAACTGATATCAGCCCCGTTTTGCAACGGTTGCCGACAAAGCGATTGCGCGACATGTTGAAGTTTGCAAAATGACCGTCTACGACAAAACCGAATTGCTCGTTTGTTTGCCAAGTATTGTTATCCATGTAAATGGAATGGGTGAAGTTCTCGTTGTATTGCCAAACGTAGGGTAAGGCAATTTCAAAGCCACCGGCCTTGTTTCCTTCAATTGTGCTATCCTTGATTATCCAGTGAAACAGATTGTTCGATTGACGCATGTCTCTGCTGAACTGAATTATTCCTCGGCCATTATCCGTCACAAGACTGCAAATAGTAAAAAGTTAATTGATATTATCAATCAGTCGTTGAAATAAAATCAAATTCAAATGAATAAAAACGTTTTTACACCAACCTGTTGTTCACGTGGAAAGATATTTCTGAAATGTTTGAATGAAACACGTTCCAATGAGGAGAATGAACATGAATTGCTTCTTCAACGTTGTGAGATATTTCGCAATTAATCAATTGTATGGACTCGTTGGCTTTGCGAAGGTAGTGGTCGCCGCGCTCGTCGAGGTAGCGATTGTAGTACGACGCGAGGACTCCCAGTCGATTGCCGCGTATCTTCGTCCCTGTAATTCGTAGGGTTGGAATCGGTCCCCGCACAATGCGATTTTTCACATCCTGAACGGGAGCCGGGAGCGCAGTCAGCACGATGACGGTTCCGCCCAAGGCGTTGTCGCCGCTGTCGTAGTTCAAGACGACGGTGTACGAGCTCGACGCAACCGGAAAGACTGTGAGATCCCTTTTGACGTTCCATATGTTGCCGCGATGCCTGGTATTTTGCGAATCGTGTATGATGATCTGTTCGGTGCTTCTGTTCTGTATGGGATTCAGCAGTTGAATGCCAACAACGAATCCTGGAGTACACTGTAAAATAATCATAAAACACGATGTCAAGTAAAGCTGTCGATAATCGACGATGAAAATTGATAAAACTCACGTTAATATTATAAATACGGCTGATCGGAGCACCGGTGACTTTAGCGGTAACCAGATACTTTGTTTCGCCCATTGATAATTCAATATTCGAATTGCGGTCCGGTACGACGATTGGATCGTAGCCGGAGTCGAGCGATGTGTCGGGTGAGCTTGTGAACCATCCGGCAAATTCTCTCTGCTGATACGCAGAGAGCGCCGGATTGTGCCTGACGCCGGCTAGCTTATTGTTTTCTAAGCGCGAGCTCGCGATACGAAGACCCAGCTGCTTAAAACTCACACCACTGCCGCCGTTGTTCGAGAAGTCGCTGTTGCGCACCATGTTGACGGCGTCGGCCGAATAGATGTCCGAGTACAGCACGCCTAGGCCGTCCTGCAAGTTGCTCATGACCTTGACGCCCTCGAGAGAGTGTCGTGCAAAATCAATCTGCAGAGCTGCGAAAGAAAATTTCTCGTTAGTAATGATAGTTACATAATTATAAATGCAATCAAACTCGACAAACCTGGCTTGAAGCTGTTCGTGGCGTAATCCAAAAGACCAGCTCGCTCGATGGTGATATATTGTAGGTCGCTTCTCAACGCCAATGGACCCAATCTTAGGCCGGCCCAGGCGACGTCCGTACAACGTACGCCGACGTCGTTCTCGTGCGTACAGGAATTCTCGAACTCGTCGGCAGTTTCAGCTTTGCAGCGCGAAATATCCACGTCGTCCTCGGTACACTGTACGTTACTGAGGACTATGTCTTCGTTAGTTCCAGCGCGTGGTATATCCGAACGCTCCATATACCAATTATCCGGGTCGAGTGTTAAACCCAATTGATGGCAGACCAGTGCTGCGTCTCTCATGGTCCATCCGTAATTACAGACCGTGCCCCATTTCTCTCCAACTCGCAGCTGTAAATGATTCGATGAGTTAATAATTTATTGCGGTTGAAGAATTATCTTTTTACAAAGAGAAAAAGAAAATTTGCTATTTACCTGTAAACGACCTTCTTTGATCGTTTTTCCTCCTAATAATCTTACGGGCACTTGGCTGTCGAGTTGCATTGGCATATCGAGCGTGTCGGACATCGTGTCTCCCATGGTATCGTTGTCCATCGGAGGCACTACGATTTCTTCTTTTAAAGTCATGAGAATATTACTAGGTCCAGTGCCATGTGCGTCTAATTTACCCGCCACCATAATGCCGACAGCCGGTCTGAAACGCAATGTTACTCCCGGCTGTAGTATCAGTTTACCGCCCGGCCTGACATTTATATCTCTTTTAACGACATATTCGCCGGCCTGAAGAATCTCGGTGCCGTCGACCTCGCCGCCCACGACATTGCTGTCGGCGGCCAAAAAACGCGGGACGAACGTGGGATTCGGATTGATCGTGTTCGTCGCGGGATTACTGTTGTGCAGCAAGTACGGTATGTACTCGATTTTCGCTAAATTGTATCTGTCTTTCCTGTGGAAGAGCCTCTCGAATATCTCCGGCTGATCTATCGAGCCCAACCAATTGTACGTGCAGTTGATGATCTTGCTCTGGTCCTCCAACTGCGAGCCAATCTCGTACTTGGATTCTGGATTCTGCAGGATGTTACGGAATACGTTCACGTTGCTCGAGGAGACGACGAGCGCTGCCGATACCCTCGATCGTGGTATGAGTCGCGAGCCCTGGATATGACCGTAATCGAAGGGCTCGCGTACCTTGTTCTCCTTGAGGAAGTTTCGTGTGAATAGTAGATGTTGCACATCGCTGTAAGGCGACAAGCCTATGCTCGCGACGAAGTAGCCAGTGTTCCCGTAAAATTCGTTGTGCTGGATGAGCAACTCTACTGGCAGCAGGTCGAATTCCTCGAGCAGCGGATTGCGCACCAGAAGACCGCCGTACGAGTGTTGTTGGAAGTGATTGTACTCGATCACCCCGTGCATGTTGAGGGCGGGGCTGAGCTTCACGCCCAGCTTGGAGTTCTGCACGAAACGATTGTGGCCGACTTGAAGCTTGAGAATGCCGTTGTTGTGGCGCCAGCTCGACTCGACTTGGACCGCCGTCTCGATGCTGCTGTTGAAGCTGTTCCCGGTGATGTTTACGTACGAATTTCCCGTTGAATTACCGACCTGTTTGTGAAACACGAGCACGCGCGGTTATGAAACGCAATCGAGTACGTAGCAGACAGAAAAAAAAGTCAACACTCACCAGTACGCCGATGTCGCGATTTCGAAAGATCTCCGAGTACTCGACGACGGTCGTCTGATTGAACGAGACGTAATCGGTGGAGGCGCTGTCGTTTAACCAAAGCGCAAACCCGTAGCCCTGATTGGACGATATGCTGGAGCGCGACACGTTGCGGCTGCCGCCCGTCACGGTGATGTTGATGCCGTCGCCACGGTTAAAAGCGATCCGGCTGCCAGTGACGTTGACGTCGGGGACGCCTCCGAGCACGTGGACACCGGCCACGTGGCGATTGTTCGACACCGAGGTGTCATCGATGTGAAGGGACGAGCGCAACTTCTCCACGGCTATGCCGCGTCCGTTGTTGTCGGCTATCGTGCTGCCGGTAACGTTTAAATCGTAGGCTTTTTCTGCAAATTTTGAAAATTCACAGTGTTAAAAAACAAAGACAATCGTTGCGTTATATAAATTTATAAGTCGAAAACACTCACTGTATCCAGAAGTTAATCTGAGAAACGCAATCATTGAAGTTCTTGGTTCGGCGAAGAATTTGATGTACAAATTGTGACTGGACGTGGTGACACTCTGCGGTAGGGTTCCGTTGCGCACGCTCACGCTCGCCAGGAGCTTCTCGCCGGTGCTGATGCCGTCGTAGACCTCGATGACGGCGCTGTCGTTGCGGTCCGTCTTCATCTGGAGAAAGTGCACGGTGAGGACGTGGCCCGGCCTCGTGTAGATGTGCTGCGGGCACTTCTTCTGATTGGGCGCGTACTTGCTCTGGCCGAGCGATATGGTCACGGGGAAGGTCTGGCTGGCCGTCGTTGGGAAGGTGCACAGGTCGTAGACGTCGGCGCGGTCGGCCTTGTCGTCGGGCCGCTCGTCGTGGTGCACGTACTTGATGCCGTCCGCCTCGTTGTCGACGATCAGGCAGTTGTCGACGTGCGCCATGCCCGTCGAGCTGTTCACGTAGATGCCGTAGCCCCGATTGCTCTGTATCGTGCAGTTGGAGACGACGACGGGCGCCTCGGGCCGGCTGACGTTGAGGCCCGTGTACGCCGAGCCGACGATGCTGATGGACTCCATGCGGGGCGGCACGCCCTCGACGTGCAGCGCCGCCGTGAGATTGAACTCGCGACCGGTGCCGGCGTAGCGGATCTCCACGTGGCGCAGGATGGACTTGGAGCGTCGCACGTACAGGGTGTTCTCCTGGATGAGCGGGCGCTCGTACAGGGCGCCCTCGAAGCGCAGACCGCGCCAGTGCTTGGTCGCGCCGGCGGCGCCGTCGTGGAAGGGCGCGCAGCCGACGCCCAGATCCGGATGGTAGTCGCAGACGCCCGCGCCGAGCATTCGATCCTGCCAGCGGCTACAGTCCTGGAGGCTGGCCTCGACGCCGCGACACTGCGGCTGCTCGTACAGCAGTCGGGGCTTGGCCGGCCACTGGCGATCCATCCAGCCCCACCATCGGCCGCCCTGGTAGCCGAGCTCTCGGCAGGCCGTCTCCAGGTCCGCTCGGGTCCAGCTGCGAGGAACGAGAGAGAGAGAGAGAGAGATTAATTTTATTTTATCAGCGAATAAAAGTAAATAAACGAGTGAGTGATTGAATCGCGGCGAGTTATTTCAAGGCCGTGTGCGCATTCTTCGAAGAATGCCGCGTGCGTATAATGACGACGGAAATTAGAGAAAATTACTTTGATATCGTGTACTCACTTTCTGGAATTGGTGCAGACCGATCGCCATTCTCCTTTGTGCAAAATCTGCAGGCGGCCTTCGATGGGACTGGGCCCGTCGACGAGTCTGATACGACGGGACTGCGGCCGACCGGACGGCCCTTCCGCAGCCGTCAGGACGATCGGCTGGCCCTCCTCCCCCTGGTGACGACAAAAGAAAAAAGAAAACGTTATTATCACAATTGTGTACGGTGCTCCGCGATTTCGAAAGATGGGGACGATCGACGAAGAGAAAAAAAGCAATAGGAGTACGCGCGAGGCAAAAGCGAGAGAAACAACACATATACACGACGTACTACGTATATGGGAGGCTGGAAAACTATTTCAAGGCCTCGTGCAGTCGAGAAAAGCTATATACAATACCTGCGCGTTTTACTCGCGAACGCGCGATAATAAATAAAAGTAAATGTGAACGGCGCGCCACGTATCGCGCGAAGGACTCGAAACAAGACGTATATTACAGCGAGAGAGAAAATAAAAGGAGAGGGTCGCGCTCGCGAGCTCGTATTATCACCGAATTTTCTTACCCGCTATCCGTGCGTGTCCGTCGTCAGCGACTCGACTCGACCGAATGGGCGACGATGGAGCATCGCGCGATTATCAATGCGTCGCGCGCTACTCGGCCGAATTTGTATATTATACACGCGTAGCATAGCTAATGGCAGGGCGAAGGGAAGGGGTCGTATAGGCACGCGGTTCACCCAACGCGCCGTCTTATCAAGGATCATTGACCGCGAATTTGACGCGCGTAATCGCGTTCTAGAAACGCCGAGAACGAACTGAAACGCGCAATTGTTGTCACTGCTTCGATTTCGCGTGATTTTGAGGACAGGATACATTTTTTAAATCGACGCAGCTCAGTGTCGAGTAGAAACAATCGAAATGAGACCTCAATCATCGAGGCGAGAAGCGAGCGAGCGATCGCATAAAATGAAAATGCGCTAACTGCGAAAATAGGAGTTTTTTTATTTAACTCGTAAATCTACTACGAGTCGTAGATGTATTGCCTCGTATAGCACGGAATGATTCACCCTCGCGCGTCGATTTCATTAGATATCAAAAAAACATTTTACCCGACGACCGATGCTGTCGAGAGAGAAAAATTACTAAAGAGTGATCTTCGAGGCGCGATATTGTAATGAGAGCGGCTTTTCGTGCGTATGACAAACGCAGATATATATTTGCAAGCGTAATTGATCACTTGTCGCGTGGAATTTATGAATGATATGCACGCTCAGAGAGCTCGTGTCGCATATTATACGTATAAATACACTTTTGCCGAGTTTCCGGCTAGTCGCGCGCGCGCGCAGTTAGAGGCATTTTTTGACAAGTTTAAAAGTAAATAAGAGAGAATCGGTCGCAGCGAGCACACGCCCTCGCTTTGCATCTCTTTCTCTGGGGCAATATATTACAATTATGTCGTTTTGATTGGGTACATCATCGTCGTCGTCATGTTCTTTTAGCAGCGGCGTGTATACGTATTGCAGAGGATGCCACCGCACGATCTCGCTGATTTAATTGTGCACGATGTGTATGAGTAGTATAGTGCACGCGCGGCGGATGCGGCGAATTAAGAGTTCGCAAATTGAATCGAATTTTACGATTTCTTTCTATTTACGTCGTTGATATATTGCAAACGATGCTGCTTCAATTTATTGTCGCTATATGCTCGAAGCATAGATACATAATTTTCTTGGTTCGATTTGTGTATTCGAGACGAAAATTTCGCTTAGCTGACCCAAGCTCTCGCTGGTCGAAATTGCGCGCTTATCGATGTACATTGTTTACGAGAACCTTCTCGAAAGTTCCTATTGCGAATACGCGAGCACTGACACATGCTCCTGGACTAATGTAGTACGATTAACGAGCCCATCGAACCTATATACATACCGATCGCGTACGCATAGGCAGCTATGTGTATGTGCGTGCCTACGCGCGTAAGTAAGTGATCAACTGTAAAATTAGATTACACGCTAACTCAATATTATCAATTCTCGAGTACACTGTGTCGGTTTATGTAGCTCGTTTTAGATAATAACAATACAAGATTTCAATGTACGGTCGATTCGGCGACGAGGCTCAGGATCAACGAATCGAATAAAAAATAATGACGCCTCGACTAGGAGCTGACATGGATTTATTATGATCGCGTGATCAATCGGCTACGATGATTCAGAAGAATCGCCTCGACTTTTGTACAAAATAATGATAAGCCATCAGCGATCCATCGACGATTTTCGGAGTCGACCAAAAATCGTCATATCTACATTTGCAACGAATTCAACAACGATCTCGGCCCTTTATTAACGCATACACCATAGCGCCCATACGCTGCTATTCGTTCCGCAGGCACTGCTGCGTTCGCTCGAGCGCAAGCGACGTTAGCACGAGACGCATCTATATATACACTCGCATACGCACGAGGCACGCACTGATGAACCGAGAGAGAGAGAGAGAGGCAAAAAATGATTGTATAATGCATAACTAATAAAGAGCTCGTTAGCGCACAAAGTCGAGCGTGCCAGCATACAAGCATATGCGAGCGAATTTTCACTTTCGCCCTCCTTTCGCAGTTAACACACACACGCACACGATCGCACAAGACGTGCGTATACACGTATAGTACGCGAGTGTAGCAAACGAGCAAAAACTATATATATTAAGGCTGAGTCATACGCGGTATTTATGTATGGCGCACCAAAGTACTATACAAAGTATATTTTCGAGGACGTCTTTATTTTATCGATATCTCATTCGCATATATGTGCTGTTTCGCGCTTCACTTCGAGCGCGCGGGAAAAAGAACACCTCCGAGCGCTCTTTTTTCCACTTTAAAGAAATAATAATATAACTGCGATCGCTATATTAACTACACGCTTTAAAGCGGAGATGGACACGGGTGCGCTTTGTATTTTGCATTATTACGAGCCGACGCTCTACAAAATTTAGCACGCCTGCCGTCGCGAGCAGCAGATCGCGACGAGCAGCAGCAGCTTATAGATGCGGCGAAGAAAGTTTTTGCCGCGCGAGAAAACATCGCGATAATAAAACAAATATACATGTATAACAATCGTATATTGTTTACCGTTATAAACCGTTTGTGCAGCTCTCTCTCGCGCGCGCTGAGTGAAAAATCCCTCTACACTTACTCTCGTATATAATACAAGCGCGGTATTATATACACAGATATATATAATATACATTACGCGCGAGCGGTGCTACTCGTCGTCGTTTTAAACAAAAGTATAGTGCGAATAAGCGTTATAGAGCTGCAGAGATAAGGGCCCGAGGGACAACGGTAATAATCGACGTTGCGGCCGGTGCAACGTCTATATCGAATGACATCGTCGGATCGTATTTACATGCCGTATTACAATACCGGAACGAAAGGCGCGTCGCTCAACATCGATACACAGCCTGACCGTTCGTGCGTTTAATTCGCGCAAAAGCTAAAGAAACAGTCAATCAGGATGTTGTGCAGTAAACGCGCAACGGGAGCAGCAGCAGCAGCTGCGCGCGAGGAGGAGTCGAGAAGGAGGAAACCACCTTAACGTCGATTCGATGCCCTACGAGCTATATCACGAATGTCCAGGATCTTCGGGCTAAAAGGCTTCCTGCTTCCTGTTGCCCGCGCCCGCTCGCTCGAATAGACGAACTTTTTTTTATACCGGCGCGTTCGATCGCGGCTTTTATAACTTTCGTCCGGCTTCGGCGCGCATACCTACCTCGTTTGCGCGATGTATATATTATGTATAAATTACGCGCTTATACCGTATACATCATAATTACGATCGAAGCGCCGATACATTTTTTTTCTTCCCGCGCCCGCGCGCGTCACGGATCGTTGACTTTTTGCAGCTAGCCGCGCGCGCACACAACAACGAAGGCGAAAAAGAAAGAGCCGTATCTTGTTTTCACGGCTGGTTTTCGCGCGAGTATCGTATAAAGCACAGAAATAATTGTTGATGAATTATTTGAATCATTGAGAGCTTATTACATGGGGGAGGTGAAAAATTTTTCGGAATCTTATCGGTGCGCGAGACACGAGACCCGCAGAGATTGTTTACGCGAGGCTCGGGTACGCGCGACGACGATCGTTCGTCAACGTACGAGAAGCCAATGTAACAATGGATCTACGTTGATATATTTCTAATCGCCGGGGAGCGCGAGTGAGACGTCATTCTGCTACGACATATTTACGGCTGTTTATATACGCCGAAAGGAAATTTGCTTACGCGCTCGAAAAAGGACAAAGCGTCGTGTTAGGATGAATAACTGTCGAGAGAAAGAGATAATCGTTCGCAACGGAAAGTTTCTACTTCCTCGTACCACAGCTTTTCTTTTCCTTCCTCTATGATCTATTTATTCTCTCTCTCTCGCTCCCTGCTTTGGGTCATAAATTCTTGCTTAACGATCCTATCGTAAAATAATCATCGAGTCGATGTATATAATAGGTAAACATATAAGCAGCTACTGCTACCGCTGCTGCTGCTGCTGCTGCTTCGGCGCAAAACGAGACTAATATACCGTTGACCGAAAAAAAAGTGTAACAGCTCTCGAGAGTCGAGCGCGAGTCGCGCGACGACGTCTTATTGTTCACCGCTCAATTTTCAGTTTTCAGCGCTATACCCGCGTATACACACACGTATTATTATACATATACGAATGGCAAAACGACAGCCTTTGTATTTTCGTAATTTCACGTCGCGTTCGCATGTGCATAGTGGCGTCGGGTGCGTAATTTCGGTAACGGCGGCTTTATTTTTATTTTCCGCTGCAAGGGGAGGGACGAGTCGTAATCAAACTCATAAACCACGAAAGCTTCCGTGAAAGCGCGCAAAGACGACGATGATTATTACTGATAATCTAGCTGATCGGCTTGGAGAGGCTTCACTCGTGCTTCGTGAAATGAAAAAAAAAATGTGCGCGTCAACGTCGATTGTCGCGTTACGTCAAATATCAAGTACATCGACGTGCATGCATGCGGCTACGGGGTTACCGGCATAGAGTCAGCCAACACCGCTTCCGGAGCTCGCGTCGTTCTCCGCTTCGGAACTCGTCGGAGACGCGAAAGACCAACAACAACAACAGTCGGTTCGAGTGTGCAGTACTGTGCGCAGGCGGAGAGCCTGTGTAAGATTCGGGCCACTGATCTTTCCGGTCAAAAGCGAACCGTGTATAGTATCCTTCTCTCTTGCCGCGGCGCGCGTATTATACACGCTGCTATGGCCAAGCCACGCTAATACTATATACTCTGCTCGCTTGCCTGCACCCTATCTCTCTCTCCCTCTCTCTCTTTCTTTTTCTCCTTGCCGGCGGCGGAGGCTCGAGCTCGCTTCCTTCGAGAAGTCTAGAGTTTCAATTCTTTATGCCTTCTAATACCCCCCCTTGACTATCCGACGACCGCCGCCGCACGTCGGAGCTCGAAAAACCGCAATCGCGTTCCTCGGCCCCGCGAGCGCGTCTATATATACGATATAATATACAACGTGGTATACTCGCGCATGTTCATAGGTACGCGAGAGTTGGAAAATTTTTCCAACTCACAATAGCCATTTATAATGGATTTGTTATGTTCTTCGGCGAGAGGAGCGTAAACGATCGAATTTTCTG